TAAGTCATTCATGGATTTTTTAATAAGTCAAAGATAGTTGCATCTCAAGAGTGTTTTTTCTTTTTTTTTGCCATTAGCCCAGGAGAACGATCCTGTTTTTTGGAAGAGAAAGGAGGCACATGATTGACAAGCTGTTTGCTATGAGCTACTTCTTGGTGAGTACTTAACCATGGAAATGATTTGGAGTCTAATGGGTTAAATATTTCAACCAGAGACTTGTTATGTTTAAGCCAGTATGGTGGATCATGTGTAGTTAAAGCAATAGGTTTGTCCAAATCCAAGATCTAAATGAAGCACCATTTATTTATACTGTCTAATTCACTAGAGCACTTCTAAGAGAACCCCTTTCCCAAAGATACAGTATCAGTTCCTGTGCTTTCTGCCTGGGTAATGCTTACTAACCCAGTTAATATTCCTCTAGTGACTGGAATGGGCAGGAGTGATTCCCACCACACCAGAATCTTCCAGGGTAACAATATTCCAGAAAGAAGGGAAAGTTTAACGATGATTTATGACTAATAGCAGAAGGAAACACATTCTGCAATTTGGATACAAGGAGAGGGATCCTGACTCCCCATTGTGTTTATCCATTGAGTCAGAAAACAAAGTCATGTAACTATTATTCCCCCATCTTTAGACATGTTTTCTTTTAAAGCAAGGGGCTGGGTAGTTATGGATATTATGAGAATGAGCTTTCCTGCTCACTGGAGGGTCTTGAGCAAAGGATTCAGGCTAAATGGACTTCAGGAAATTCAAGGGTTGAAAGAAGGCAATAGAAACATAATTTTTTCATGCTTTCTATTTTCAGAGGGCTAAAGGCAGTATAGGAGTGATTTATAGAATCACGTCAAACCAGAAATATAGAAACCTATACTGTGACCTCATGAAAGAATATTTTCTGTGGGAAGACAGCTGTCATTATGATCAGTTAGTGTTATTATTCTTGCCTGCAAAAGCTCATGATTTTATTTTGTAGTTTACCTTTTATGGAGTATTATTTAATGATATTATTTTCCACAACATAAAAATGCATAACAATATTTTTCTTAAAAGCAATAGGTTTGGCCAAGGCAAACAAAGAAACAGACAAACAAACCTTCAATTTTCACTATTTAACAGAGATACAAAATCAAGTAATTTTAAATGAAATATTTAAATACAGAAAATGATTCTTCGTTCAGAATAGTAACAGCAAACAAAGAGTGGTTTCTTTTTTAAAATAGTGACCACTAATTAAATTCCTCATTCTTCAAAGAAGATCATAGAGGGTTGATGAGAGAAGAGAAATAGAAATCATTATCAAGAGGAGGAATAAGATAGCAGTCCAGGAGTTCATTCTGTGTCATGCTTGAGAGATGGAAAAGATTGTGTTGAAAAGTCAAAGTTACCACTGCCTTTCAATTTCTGCAACTTTAGTATTTACTCATTCAAGAAAACTTACCATTTGAAAGGAGAAATAGCCTTAATTTTGAAAGACTAGACCTTCAACTCAAGGCATGTCATTGTGAGATCGTATTTTCTAAGGCAAAGCTGTTATTATTGTTACGTTGTCTATCATTGCGTTGGAGATCCAAGCACAGAGGGTGTAGAGTTAACTCAAGGAGTAGAATGTCTTCATAACCAGTGTAAATGGCAGAGATATGATTTTCTGGCAAGAGCTTGTATCCGAGCATTTAACTGAATATTCATTAGAGAAGTGTTCCAATCCAAACGTTCAGAAGTTGAAATGGATTGTTCCTGGCTGTACCACATGGCAATTGAAGCATAGTTACTACAGAATAAGTCACCTCTCGACATTCCTGAAATGGTTTCCTAATTGATAAATTTGGTTTACTATTACCCTCCAGATAGAGAACATTTTCTAATGTTATAATTTTCTGCTACAATTGAAGAATTAAAATATTAATCATCTTCGAAATAAACAAAATGGAGTTGGAATGGCAAGGGGGGAAATTACTTCACTGATCTGGTCAACTAATATTTGAAGTTCATTTTATAAAAGGTACAACACTTTAAGGGATTATCTACCTCTCAGATCCATGTTAGCCATTTCATTTCATTTTCAATTTAGGAAACACCTCCTCCTTAAGAGCCTGAATTTTAACAGTAGCACTTGTGGTTTTTTGTTGCACATCTTATTATATGTAGAAGCAACCTCTGGCTCATTTAAAGTTATGTGGGCCAAGTAGGACAACAGGACCAAAAGTTTGAACCATATATTGATCTGACTTGAGACTATTAGCTTGTAATGAAAATCACTATGTAGTTAAAGAAAAGGTAGCCTATGGCAAATGATTGCCACACTGGTTTCTGGAAACTGCCAGGGTGTCTCAACACTATAGTTACATGTCCTGGCCATGGCAGCTGGACTACTAGAAAATAATTACATGCATAAAAATGTAAACTTGATCACTGGATACATGATATACATTCTTGCCATCTAAATTTAACTCAGAATGATGGCTTATCTTTTCCTTTCAAAATTAAATATTAGTATTTAACACAGCTACATATGATTATGAATATTCAGATATGAAAGTTCAAGTTTGTTCTACAGGCAGACTTCTGACAAGTTGGGACTTTTTTGTTTGTTTATTTAAATGGATTATTACAGCAGGAAAAAACTCCTTGAAGCTTTTCCTTACAACCCTAATCTATGGATTCCATAATGTTGTAATGGATTTTAGCAGTGAAGCCTCAAAACATCACTAGATTAGCGTAATGTTCTCAGATTTGGAAAAGCTGCCAGATTAATAATATGCTGTAGTGGAATTATGTTTAGATTTGAATTCATGTGTGAAACATTCAGCTCAAAGCTAAAGGCATAAATGTGAAATGCTAATGACAAGCCTGGGAAGGTAAATTGTGAAAATCTTCATTTCTAACATTGATCTAACTTTCTATATTAGGTCAATGTACTGTATTTATTTGTATTGAAAATTGTAACCTACTTAATTTAAATGTTTACATTTTGAGGTTTACATTTCACAAATGCACTTTTAAGACCTAATAAGGGTTACTAGTCTAGGCATGTAAATGGTTTCTTGGCACCCATAATGCAAGTAGAAGGTAATTTAGAGATCTGAACGCCATTGCTATATAAGAATTACATTTAAATTATATGGCATTTTATATTGGGCAAATAAAATAAAATAAATAAATAAAATATTTAAACATAGAAAATGATCTTCATTCAGAATGTAAGTACTAATATTATTATTTTCTATTTAAACATAGAAAATGATCTTCATTCACAATAGTAACTACAAGCAAACAGTGTTTTCTTTTTTTGAACAGTGGCCATCAGTTATATTCCTTATTCTCCAATTATGCTATTAGATAATAGATAATCTGCCTAAAGGATCAGAGAGAATTGACAATCAGCAGAGAAATGGAAACAATGATAAAGAGGAGGAATGAGACAGCAGTCCAGGAGTTCATCCTGGAGGGGTTTCCTGCTGTCCAGCACCTGGGAAACGTCCTGTTCCTGGTGCACCTGCTGGCATACCTGGCCTCCCTCACTGGAAAC